TGTGTGTGTGTGTGTGTGTGTGTGTGAAGAAAGAGATTAAACTCAAACCGTTTCGATTTTCGGTGCTTCTTGCCTGAAACTAATTTTAAACTGAACTGAAAGTGGCAGCACGTTTTCAGTTCAGGATGTGCTTTTTGCTTTGTAAACTTGTACCTATTCTTTGTCAGCCTTTGCAAAAAAGTATACATATCCCTTCCATTTTCACTTTTTTCTTATTAGCAGACACAAACATTAGTTCATTTTATGCATAACAGACCAACACAAAGCGGCGTATATTTGAGAAAAAGACAGTAAATGACACACTGTCAGTATTCTTCTTTTTACAACTAAACCCTTGTCAAGTGAGCATTTGTCTTTTGTCTCGTATCACCAATGCACATCTGGAAACTGGCCTTCCTACCTGTTTGATTGGCGTGGCGGTGTCAACGACAACAACAACAATCATCTTATTGCCCCAGAGTCTCAATTAGACTCAAGTTTGCAGTCTGACTTGTGTTGGAATCCAGACCAAAGCAGAGTCGAATCACTTTACAAACTCTTTAAAATCATATTCAAATAGTACAAGTACCTGCTCTTGTATTAGTATTATATTTACTTAATACATTTGGGCAGCTTGTGCAGGGATTCAGGCATACAAACTGGAAATGTTTTGCGCGCCTTCAATACTATAAGCAAGGACTCTTTTGGTTCCACATTCCCATGTACATGCTCTGAAAGCACATGGACTCTGACTTCTGAGGTCGACTCATTGCACTCAATTGCATTGAAGAAAATCAGAGTAAAGGGGGTGCGTTGCAAACACAAATCACATTTTTAGACTTTTATGGTGATGCCTGTTGGTCCGCCATATCAAAACCCCAATGAAACAAAAGTAGGTTCTGGGTTGTAATATAACAAAATGACAATTTAAAAAAAAGTTCAGTTGATATGAATACTTTTGCAAGGAGATGTACATTAAAAAAATTATAATTTTGCTACTTTTGGCAGATGGATGACATCGATGCTATGTTTAGTGACCTGCTGGGAGAGATGGATCATCTCTCTCAGGTAAGTTTCTTTGTCTTTGTCTGAATGCTAATATATTAAACGAGCTAGCTGGTGGAAGGCTGTCGGTTTGATGCAAGTCAGTCAGCATATTGGTACCATTGGAAAGAAATGGACAGAATATGCAAAAATTTGGAAAAACGACGGCAGCAACCCAATTATTTTGTTTCTTTTATATTTTTTTTTTCACTGTACATCGCATTACGTTCATTTACTTAAATTGTTGAATCAATAAAGAAAAAAATACATTAATACATTAAAAAGAGGCTTTCTGATAGTTTGACAGCAGCATCAAAGTCCCAATCTGCAACAAAGACTTTTTCCTACATAATGCTGTTGAAACAGTAATTTGAGAAAGTGAAAGCAGCTTTCATTAAAAAAAAAAACATCTTGTAAGCATGGAGGGAGATCAGTAATGCTTTGGGCTTGTATTTCAGGCAGCAGCATATTATCTGTTTAAGTAATAATATAAACCACCAGAAAAGCACTGGGATTATTTTGCTTACAATCCACAGAGCTGGTAAAATCAAGAGATTTATTATTATTATTATTATTATTATTATTATTTATGTTAAAGTCCAATAATGTCTAACGAGAAAGTATTGTGTTTGGGCCTCCGATTTACTTAAATGTGTCAATTAACCTGTGAGAAGTTTCAGAAGCCATGACATCATCATCTGAACTTTCTCTCATTGCTTAAAGAGACAGTAATTATTCTGAATGGAAACTTTTGACTTTGAAGACATAAATAAATACATATAAATCTGACACATTACTTCTCTCGTTATTGTAATATTTGGCAAACAGCAATATATATTTTTTAATTCTAACAGACTTAAAACAAGAGGAGTTTGGTCTGGTTTAAGGTCAGACATGGAGGAAAAAGAAGTGTTTGTCTTTTTTATACGCATGTAAACGTCTGGTTTTAGCTGTAGGTAAGGTTTTGCAATTGACTGCAGACAAGGAGGAACTACACATGCAGGCAGCACAATGCTTAATGCTCCGTTTGCATTAAGAGGCGCTCACTCCAAGTGTTGACTTATTGGAGATGCCCACCGCACTATTCAGATTTTTATTAGCAAAAAACAAAACAAAAAAGCAAAAATATTAAATGCAAGGAGGTTTGTGATTGTGACGATTCATGGACATGAATGATCTGATGAGACAATGTTTCCCCGATGTTTTGGTTGGTTTAAATTCACCAACATTCTTGTCAATGTCTGGCCAAATGATTCCTCTTCATTCTTACAGATAACCTAACTGATCCCGATGAATTCATCATTTCTTCAGGATCTCTTGATTTTCTTAACTCGTCTGTTGCTGTGTTTCAGGCTCCTGAGCATCAGCAGATCGGTTTGTTTCTGACTGATGCCTTCGCCTCCCGTAAAATGAGCTGCAGCCTCACATGTTTATGGCTCAGCTCGGTTAAAGGGGCAATCCCACAGAACCAGATGCCACTGATAAATGACTTTGTGTCTCAATAAAACTGTGCTTCAAGATTTAAAGGCCTTGCAGCCGTTTCTTCTGCAGACGCTCTACTTTAAGTGTCACCTGAACGGTCAGAAGACGGTTCCTTTTCGGCGCTGAAATCCACGTTTGGGGAATCAGTTCGTCACGCGACATTCACCGCGTTTGCCCAGATGATATCAGATTACAGCAGGCGCTCTAATGTTTGGACCGAAGCCGCTGCATGTGGGTAGGACATCAGGCTGCAGAGACGACGTAAACTGCTCATCATAAAAACTGCAGCTTTCGCCAAGAGCATTCTGATGTCATGGAGACTCAGCCTGAGGCACATTTTACCATTCTTCTTCTCCAGTGTCTGCATAGAAGCTGGAAACGAGAACAACGCAGAGACAAGGATCAGTCTACAGATCATATCAGACTGACTCACACTGATAGTTTGGAGCAGAATCATAACTGCAAAAGCAATTTCAAACAAGAAAGTGTGACTGAAAAGGATTTAAATTAAAGTGCAAACATCTCCATTGTTCTATTAATGATCTGCTTCAATTGATTTTAAAGAAACGGAGCATTAAGTGATTTAAACTCCAGTCTTGCCTTTGCCGGTCACTTCCAAAACTGTAAAATCACAAACTACATCAACAGCCAAGGGAATATTGTTGAATGCCAACGATATTCTCAAACGCACCACTGTTGCAACATACATAAAAACATGCTCAAAGCTTTCAAAAAAGCTTTTAATGTACCAGACAGGTGCATGGATTAATCTCATGCTACTCTATGCAAGCATTCCATCTTCACTGATGAAGATTTACTCACCTCAGCATGCTGAATGCTTCAAGGGGCTCCAACCGACAGCAGCTCAACCCATTTTTTGACAAAATAAAGCTAATGGTTATTGGATTACTCTAAGGCTTTCACCCACTGCAAAAACAAAATCATAGCACATATTTTTCTTCTAGTTTCTTGTGCAAATATCTTAGCACACCTGAAATAAGACAAAAGTAGCTTAGAAGTAACTTTTCAGCAAGAAATAGGAGCTTGTTTGTAAGTCAATAAAATACCTTAATATTGATGAAAAAGTATTAATTCCACTGGCAGGTTTTTTTCACTTGCATCAACAGGTTTATCCCATGTTACGAGTGAGTTCAAACATAACTAACTAAACTTTCAGTGTTCTGTTAGTCCTCTGGTCTTGTTCAGTATTTAATTTGAACCCTGACCTCCGGCCCCCCCCATGTCTCTGCAGAGTCTAGAAGAAGCCACAGTTTCATCAGGAGTGGATGCGACTCCGCAAGAGAGCTCTTTCTCCATCGGCTTCAACGACTTGAACGGCAAGTTCTCCTTCGCCCTCGACTGTTTCGTCTGAGGCAATGGTAGATTTTTGTCCAATTGCTGATAGTTTATGAAATCAGAGTAATTTTAGCCAAATTGAGATTTTGTTGTGAAAACTCACAACAGAATCCCTGATTCAAGATTAAACGCATAAAAAGAATCGCAAAGAAATGTATTAATACGAGAAGGAGGAAGTCTTTTTCACTCTTATTTTTGAGCTTGCACAGTTTCAGCCAGGTCATATCATGAGCATATGCATGAGGGGCAGATAATGCTGTATTCATTTCCTCCCGCGTTAGCAACAGTTATCTCTCCAAGGAAAAGCATGCAGCCCTTATCGCCTTTCATCCAAATGAACTCTCATGCCAGGACCCGATGCTAAAAATAACGCACATAGATGACGTGGTGAAGAATGTTGGCAGAGCAGGTCCGAAGTCAATCTCTTTTCAGGACTCAATCTCCTCAAGTGCAATCGAAATTAGTTTCGATAAAAACTACCAGAGTCTTGTTTGTTTTTTCTCTTTAAATTTTTTTTAATTTAGCTCATCTGGGAATATGTTTCCAGATGTGTTTGTTTATTATTAATAATAATAATAATAATAATAATAATAATAATAATAATAATGGAGGAACTGGTTCCGGTCTAAGAAAGGAATTCAAATAATAGATTTTTTTCTTTTACAAAAAATCTGATGTTTTTTTTTTTGACAAACGCATTTGGCAGAGTCAGATTACTAAAAACATAGGGAAATTAAAAAAAAAAAAAAAAAAACTCTAAATGTTTCAATATTCAACCACAAACTCCACGTATCATCACAGATGTCATCTCACAGACAGCGTGCCAGAAAACCGCCACTGTGTTCGAGGAGAAACCTCAGGGCCGACACGCCGACCACGCCACGACCTTGTCGTCGTCAGAAAATTAAGCGTGAAAGTGTTTTCCGACGTCGACTAATGTTTCAAAACAAATGTACGGTCTTCCTCTTCCTCTAACTAAACCAACGTGGCTCTCTGGGAGCAACATTTTGCCCACCCTGGCGTCAAAAGCAAATTGCTGAGCTAACTTGCAGCAGCTGTGGGATTCTCTCCCAGTTGAAGTCCCTCGTACTTTACAGAATCTTGTAGGTTAGAAATAACAAAAAAAAAAAATTAATATGCTGTTTGGCAGTTAAAGGTTTTAATAATAAACACACCATTAGGCCAGGCTTAGCGATACTAGCATTCACTGGTAGCACAAAGCGTATTATCTTACTGTGGTGACAGAATGTGTAAAGCTGTAGTACTGTCTTGGCCAGGGGCGGGCAACTCCAGGCTTAGACAGTTGCTGGTCTCCTGCAACTTTTAGATGTGTCTCTACTCCAACACACCTGAGTGAAATAACGAGGTCAGTAGCAGAACTTTGGAGAACCCTGACTGCACTTAGGAGGTGATCCAGCTATAGGATTCAAGTGTGTTGGACCAGGCAGACGTCCAAGAGTTTGCAGGACAGCGAACTTCCTAAAAAGCTTTCCTTTAACAACTGCATCCCTCTGCAGAGTCTCTGAATGAGCTGGAGGACCACGATCTGGACGCTCTGGTGGCCGATCTGGAGTCAAAGTCCACCGATCAACAATCTTCCGCACACAATGACAACAGCAACCCAACAAGAGATGGAACCCCACCACCTGCCGTTCCTCAGGAGTCCGAGCCTGTGGTGACCTTTCCTGTGGTCACCACTCAGTCATCAAGAGCCGTGAAACTGGTAGGACTCAAACGCTTCACAGGGCACTGCACACGCAAAACTATTTAAACATGAAAACTTTTCATTTTTTGTTCAAAATGGCTCAACACTGAGATGCTCCGTAGACGTCTGGGAAAACGTACACAGACATGTGATGTAAAACTTTTCTTTTTTTTTTTAAATGTCTGGAATTGATTTTAGATGCCAGAAGTTTAAATGTCGATGTGTTTTAGCCACCATGGATCTGCACAAAAAAATAACATCTACAAGCCTTGAACTTGGAATCTGTCAGGAGTTCATGGGTTTGGTTTTGCTTTTCATTTTACTGAACATTATGTTTTAGTTCGCTTTAGGATAGCCCTGCGTGGTCTTCTCAGTTTCAGTATTTGATGTTATTTAGTGAGATTAGAATTGCCTCGTTGTTTTCCTTATTTTCAGTCCTTTATAGTGTTTCTAGTTTGAGTTATTCTTTAGTTACTGTAGGTTCTGTTATTCTTGTATGTCTGAGTCCATGTAGAGCTTTCTTCAGTGATTATAGTTTATTTTTATTTAATCCTTCTACATATTCCTTATTTCAACCTCCCTTAGTTATTTTCATCTCCCAGGTTCAGTTATTTTTAAATGTCTGAGTTCAGGTATACTTTTCTTTAGTAGTTCCAGATATTTCTTGAGTCCTTCTTGTGTCTTTGACAGATATGTTTGGTCCCTTTGGGGCTCGAAGGCGGGGCTAGGCCCAACCAGGTGTTTTGCGCAGCTGAATGGTTGCCACGGGAGATTCAAGGATTTCTAAAACATGTGTATGCATGAATCAAACACTCCAGATGTGTTTTTGATGAGGAAACATCATAACGTCTGCAACAGACTGGCGACTGAACCCCGTCTCTCAGCCGGAGCGTTAGCTGGAGAAAGACACCGGCACCTCCCGACCCCACGAGGGACAAGAGTGTTAGAAAATGGATGGATGGATAGAATGATATGATGATATGAAGTTAAACAATTTTATTTAATGTAATACTGCTGGAGATATTAGCAAACACCTGATAGATCTGTGAATCTGGTGAATTCATCCTCCAAACTGCTTCTCACTCCTAAGAACAGCTGGAAGTAGCATAACGGAGAAACGACACGCTGAAGGCAAAGTGTCAGAAAGAGCGGGAACTTCTTAAAGAGGCAGAGGCCACAGCATCACAGCTCTCCCACCGTTGTTCTGACGCTGCAATTCATCCTTTCCAGAATGAACCCCAGACGAAGGCGGATAAAATTAAAGTGGCTCTGGAGAAACTGAAAGAAGCCAAAGTGAGGAAGGTAAACTCAGCGCTCACTCTCTCACTTCCACCCTGCAGTAGCACAGCTCAATTAAACCAAGCACTCTGCCCCTTGTAGTTGATTATAAAGGTGCTGATGAGTGACAACAGCTCTAAGACGCTGATGGTGGACGAGACGCAGACAGTCAGGGACGTTTTGGACACTCTGTTTGAGAAGACACACTGTGAGAGCAGCATTGAATGGAGCCTGTGTGAGACCAATCCAGATCTGCAGACTGGTGAGACAACCGGCACGCTCCGAACATTCGAGCACGCAGGCGCTCATTCAGGCAGCGTTGTCCTCAAATTGTCTCAGAAAGGGCCTTTGAGGATCACGAGTGTCTCGTGGAGCCGCTGTCTGCTTGGAATCGGCACAGCGAAAACAAACTCTACTTCTTGTCAACGCCTCAGAAGTACATGATGTTCACAGAGCCTCAGGTAAAAGCCCCCTCTTTGAGAAACACCTGAATGCATTACCTACCCTAATCCTCATCCAATGTGCAGATTTTTTACTTGTGGAAGAAGAAGAAATCTAGCAGCGATATGAATAGCCAGGCCAAAGAGCTTCTTATCAAGGTTGGTTATGGTAAAACCGAACTGGTCTTCTCTCATCACGCATTTTAACTCAGTTATCCAAGAATTACCTTTGCGTTGCTTCTCTTTTCTTACAATAGGAGCATTTCGGAGGTTCCACTACTATTGTCCCTAATCTCGAGGGCGTGTTACACCTAAAAGAGGATGGGAAGAAGGTCTGGAAACCTCGCTACTTCATGCTTAGGGCCTCTGGGATCTATTACGTCCCCAAAGGAAAAACGAAGGTATGACACAAAAAGGAAAGAAACTAAAAGGAAAAAGCTAACCCTTTTGAGCTTTATATCATGTTATAATGTAATTCGTTCATCAAAAACATACCTGTAGTGTTGTCTTGATTCTTTCACGCATATTTGAGAAATCCTTGAATCTCCCATGGAAACCATTCAGCTGGCCAAAACGCCTGATTGGACTTAGCCCCGCCTTCAGAGCTGCAGGTTCCAAACCTCAGAGCTTTTGCCTCACAGAACAGCCCTCCCTCACTCAGCTCCTTCAGGCTAGCCAGGAGTAATTAGCAAACATCTGGTGGAACTGAGTATCTGCTGAGTTCATTACATGAGCTACCTCTCGCTGAAACATTGGTAAAAATGTTGTTAAAGGGTTAACAGAGGAGCCATGTCGTGACGACTTCCTGAAGGCGGAGTTTCAGAAAGGGCAAGACGGCCTCTATAGCCCAATTTCAAGACGTAATCAAGAAGTAAAAGTCCTTTTAAGTAACATCTGGAACATATAGCATTTTATAACAATTGATGGTGACATAGTTACTTAATTATGATTTTTTAAAAATTGCATTATGTGCCCGGAAAACACATAATACTGCTCCTTTAAATCTAACCTCAAGAGTATAAACACACATCATTATTTATAGCACTGGTGAAAAAGTGCTTCAATCATGTTACTGCATTGCTTCTAAACGATTTAAGAAGCAAAGTGAGATCCAGGCGGTTCAAATTGAAAGCAGTGGACTATCTAATCATTTGCAGACGGGTCGGAGCATGCGGATGTGTGTTAACTCAACACTTAGAAGGGACGACATCAGCATTGACCTTGGAGAACTGACTGAAGTCTACTTTTCTGCAATAAGATTATTGACAACAGGAAAACATTTAGGACAGCTAAAAACCTCCTCAACATCTCAAGTTGCCAAGAAATATCACTCTCTCCGAACAGAATGAAGCAGCATTATTTATTCTGGCTGGATTGCATCTGACCATATAACAAGTTGTTGAAGGAGGCTCTTTCGACAGATAGGGGCAGGGGAGGAAGTGGAGAGATATTTGACTATAATGCGCAGCCCCATGTTTGCTGAAATCTAAACATAGCTTGTGTGAAACACCTTGCAGAAACTATTAAACACAAGAGGCGAGAGTTTATGATCTGGGCTTGCTTTGGCTGACTACTAGCTTCCCCGAACTTCGAGTCTCGGTGTTTAGCAAAAGATGAGTCAGGCTACAATGAAATGTCCCCAAACTTGGCGGGAAATCTACAAACAGAATGGCTGGAGATGATGACTCAGCGTGATGCAGTGAGACAGTTAAAGCCCAGATCTCAACCTGACTGACATGCTGTAGTGGACCTTATCGGGACGTCGAGTGTAGAGAAGCAAATACCCTAAAAACTGCATGAATTGCTGTTGTAAAGAAGAGTCGGCAACAATTTACTTCACAACAATATGAAAGACTAACAGCTGCCGGTAGTTTTTGCTCCTGTTGGTGGTTGGTATAAGCCACTGCTCTTAAATCATAGTTTTTCCACTTTAATTTAACTTTTCTAATGTGAATAATTACAACCTGCAAGCTGCTGACTGTTTTTCTGCTCTTTGGGTTTGAGGCTGAACTAATTTTAGAGCCTGGTGAAGAGCAGATCATTTTTGATATGCTGACGTGTAAAACTGCAGAACCGACGCGACGTGACATTTTCATGACGTGACTGTGTCGAGTTTGAAAGTAATTTGATTTAGAACTGGGTGTTTGCAGAAAACAATTGCAAACTCTCAACCCCCACGTCCAAAAATCTTTGAGATCGTTGACGAGCAGATTTAAGGTTTCGGTTTAACAGGGACTCTCGCTGTTGTGTCCTTGGGCAAGACACTTCACCTGCCTTACGTTGCACCAACGGCAACTGTGGCTACAGTGTAGTAGCTCGTCGCCATCAGCGTGTGAACTGAACCAGTAAAGCGCTTTGGAGTCCTCTGAACTTGATTCCATTTGCCATATTTTCACATGATCAGGCAGTCTTTCTTATGCGCTGATACGAGACTCTATTTAAAATATTTTGTAGAAAATTACACGAGTTGTGAAAAAAACGACTGAAACTCATTGCTAAGAGAGATAAATAGCAGCCAGTCAAAATGCTTCATTTTCAGGAAGTCACTAGGTATCATATTGTCACCAACAACCCCGTGTTAGTTGATGAGGGTAAATCTGTCAACATTATGATAAAAAAAATAAGAAGAAAAGTTGTAAGGTTTTAGACACTGTCCTTTGAACTGTGTATGTTAACTTGCTTTAAAATTAGATAATTTTAATATAATTCTTTAGACTGTATTGCTAAATATCAAGTTGCACCTAAAATTATTCAAATAGATTTACAAATAGATTCCCTTTGCTGAATTCAAAATTGTGTAGGTGCTTCCAAGAAACAAATTACACAGGAACTGTTAGATAAAAGTAACATGTCCAATATTTTGTCTAAGTTTATCCTACTTTCAATGAATACTCCATCGATATAAATGTCTAATATCTCCAGAGAAGAGATTCTTACGTTGTAACAACAAGACAATAAAAAGAAAAATAAAAACAAAACAGAGGTTATAAATGTTCCTACAAATACAGCTGACAGTTTTTTGAGTTCAGGTAGAAGGAGCAGAGACTGCACCACGTTGTCGGGGTAAAAACAGGAAACAATCACCGACCGCCAAGGGCCATGAGAAAGCAGGTGGTGAAAAACTAAACGTCGAAATACTTCTTCATTGAACTCCAAGACACACACATAAAACCACAAAAAAAACACAGTTCCAGTTTCCTCATAGCTCCATAAATGAGTCAAAGAGGTTTGGGGATTGTGTGGCACGCTGAATTAAAACTGAAACTTTTCAGGTCTGTGAACTAGCATGTCTCGCTTGCCTACAGTGAAGCAGTGAAGTGTGTGATGTACGGAGCTGCTGTGCTACGTCTGGTAGTGAAAAACTCCTAGATTTAATCTCGGGATTGCCAATCCAGGCAGAAAATGTCGTATTAGTTGTACGCTACCAGTTGGTTACAGAAGGCTTCCTACAACAGTGGTTCATAACCCCGACTCTCCAGTTCCATTAGTCACAGTGCATGTTTTAGGTGTTTCCTTGCTGCCACACACTTGACTTAAACAACTGAGTGATTACAACTGGCATTACAGAGGAGGTCATGCAATGATTTGAATCAGGTGTGCTGGAATAAAGACACACCTAAAACATAGAGAAGAGGAACACCTGAGGACAGGGGTTGGGAACTAATGTCCAAAGGCCTTTTCACATGAGGAGAAAGGTAAGATTCATCAGAATGCTATGAGAATGCAGTACCAGACCATGAATCATGTTTACTATAGCTCATGATAGTGAAAAGGTGCTGTGGATACTTGTCTTGAAGGAGTTGCGACATCCTTTGTACATCGTCCAACGTTTTCATCAATGCACACCCTAAACATTTCTGTCTCTTTCCAAAGTGTTCCACTGATCTCGCCTGTTTTGTTCGCTTCGAAAAAGTCAACGTCTACACCACCAGCAGCTACAAACAGAAATACCGAGCTCCCACAGACTTCTGTTTCCTGTTAAAGGTAAGGTGCTGTTCAAGATTTAAAGAACTCCTTTTCTCTTCAGGCGTATTTTTCTCTATGAAAAATACGTTGATCATGCACTGGCGGAAACTATATTTCTCGCCCTAGTGTAACATCACATCGCTACACACGCTCTTTTAGCTCGAGATAAATTGTTTAGATGAGCCACAAAAAGAGCTCCACAATTTTGCAACTTTTATGGTTTTTGGTTTTTTTTAATTTCAAGGAAATGTGCAACATTTACAGATGTGTTCCAAAGATCTGATCAAAATGTTTTTGTTAAGATGTGAAAACAGTGTTGGTATCTCAAACATTAAACTCAGAATCTCAGATGTAACGTTTTGTTTGAGAAAACGGATGAAAAATGAGTTTGGGGTTATTCTTATAATTAAATTATTTTTATTTTTTTTTTTAAAGGGCATATTTGCCATACAGAGGCCTTGATAAATAATTAAAATGGGAGGAAATGTTTTAAAATGTTCATGTGTTAAATTTCATTCAGATAAAGTGTCATTTTAAAAGTAATTAGAAGGTGTTTTGTAGTGGCAGTTGTTTGTGTGTGGGTTGATTATGGGGGGGGGGAGGCTGACATTGTGTTCCTTGGAGGGGGGGCTCACCCTTTCATACTTTGAAAACCCCTGCTTATATTATTTAAATATTAAAGAAGAATATATATTTCTGTCAAAACAAGATTATGTAGTCCCTGGTTATCAAAAGGGTTATTTTTTAAATAAACATTTACCTCAAGTTTTGTAGTGACCTATTAAAACTTTTATTAATCCGAACATATAGTTATTAGTAACCTCCGTATAACACTGGGATACAAAGGTTTTATCAAAGATAAAAGTTACTGTGTGATCTTTCTCTTAGTCTTAATTTAGACTAACAAATTCAAGATGAACTGAACAAAAAAAGTGCAATTCAACATGAAAAACTGTGTAGAAAAGGGAAAAAACAAGAACAATCCATGAAAGTATGAAAACAGAGAACTTAATCAGAAATCATTTCCGTTACAGGAAGAAATCAATTCTTAGATAAATAAATTGTAATAAATATGAAGCTTTTATGTTGTTGAGCTTATAGTTGTCTGCTTGTATAAAAGAGAGAAAAAGAGGCTTAGAAATGCCTACATCAGTTTTTTAACCAGCTTTATAGTCAGACTGCAAATTATGTTTTGTTTAGGACATTACTTATAGGCTTTGTTTGTCAACCTGGGTTTAATTCCCAGTCCTGGGAATCTGCTGCATGTCATTCCCCTTTATCCTCCCAATTTCCTGTTCAATCACTGTAAATAATGGCTACTAGAGTCTAAAACACTTTATTAGAGCCTATAAAACTTTTTACAAAATAAACAAATGGACCAAAAGTCAGAATATGATTACCTCCACATTGTGCTCGTTTCCTCATGTTAACAACTTTCTTCCATTTTCTCTTTTCCTACATAATTAACAGGTTATTTAATACACACACACATGCACACATCCCCTCCATGGCTGCTATCTTATCGTTGTGGGGGGTTTGAGTGTCCCAGTGATCCAAGCAGTTATGCTGTCGGGGCTTCATGCCTCTGGTTGGGCCACCCGATGCAGACGGGTCCAAGGTGAGGCACCAGACCAAGCGCAGCCCAAAGATGCCATATGATCAATAACCATTGGAACGGGTTGTACTCAACCATACAGGAGATCCTACCCTTACGGAGGCCCTGAGGTGCAAACCACTTCAGCATATTGAAAGCATGATTACAAATTACATAAGCGCCAAAACATGAATGAAGGCACTAAAACGTTGACGAAATGGATCAGGTATGTCCCAGTGGGAGACCTAAGAAATGGCTGATTGCTCTGCGGCTCGTTTTTACTTTGAATCGGAAGTTATTCTGTCTTTAACGTGTTTTTATTAATAAACATGAACGTTCTCGGTGATATTAACGCTTTCATTAATGTTGTTGTGCTTTCGTTCATGTTATAGAGCTTTTGTAAATGTGGTTTCAATTTGAACCTCAGGGCCACCGTACACCCTCCTCGCCAGGCTTGGCGCTTTCCCCCCTGATATGACAATAAAAATCCTTTAATCCTGAACAATATCAACAATTTGTGCATCGAGAAATACACTTAGCATACATACTAAGGTAAATGTTATTTAATTTGGTTAAGAATAATTATCGTACTATCAATAAATGACTTCTAATGCATGTTGTCAGTTGCCAGAGCAACAATAACACCTTTATCAGCTCAGAGGTTCAAACTGATGAAAAGTGAGGATGGATGCTCTCTGCTAAAATATTCCTCGCCATCTTCCATGTTCTTTCAGCAAACAGTGGAAACAGAGTTGTTTTTGGTTTCTCCACCATTGACCTGCTACTTTACCCGCCATTGAAAGTTTTATTAAAGTTTGTCTGCTAGTCTGCAGCTCATGTGACCAAAGCAGGCGAGGAGGTGAAAGGTTAAAACAGTCAACATTGTCTTGTTGGGAAACCCCAAGATCACTGGGAGTCTTAAAAGATACATTTGATTATTTTAGTTCATTTTTATCTACAAAGAGTGGTGCTGCAAAAGTCTGAACAATCGCAAACGGACTGATTAGTGTGAAAAGATGTTCAATATTATTTTATTTTAAACACTTATTGAATGCTGAAACACCGATTCATTGATATTTTAACAATTGAATTGGTTTTTATCAATGCAACCTGGCACAACATTCAGATTTTTGATCTGGGCCCAAATGGAAATGAGTTTGATGTCCCTGACATAAGACAAGAGAATCATGGACTATTTTGACTGTAAACAAGATATTTGGAGGTGGAATGATGTCACACCGCCAGCAAAGGGAGATTCTGTGATGTCACTGGCGATGCCGTCTGTGATGTCATCAACTGCAGAATTGTATGTAACACAATTCTGCATATTTGTCATTGCTCGCAATACTACTGACCAGTTCAGACGCTCGCAAACTCTGAGATATTTTATTGACGATTTCATTGATAGTGTTTGAGAAAATGTCTCAGAAAAGTGCAAGATCAACGATGATGGGATTTAATCCAAGGAGGGGAAACCACCAACACCCCAAGGCAGGAGCTCTACTGCCAACCCCGATAATATGGAAAGAGAGATCCATCGACTTAACGGCCTTTTGAACAAGGAAAAGGCCAAAAGGCTTTCAGTGAGAGAGAAACTGGAGGAAGAGCTCCAAGGGATGGAGTTCCAAGTCAAGAAGCAGGAGGAACTGAAAGTTGGCTATTTTGATCAGGCCTGCAGAGCGAAGGCCGAACTGGAAAGCCTGCAGAAGTTCAGAGACGTGGAAGTCCTGAAATTTGATGAGATCGCTTCTCAGGCTCAGATTGAAGTGAAAGATTTGGAGAAGGAAGAAATACAGCAAAAATATGAACAAGTGAGGGTCTCCTGCTCTCACACAGCTGAAGCTTTTATGGATGAACTTCATCAAGAGAAAGAGAAGAAAAAGGCCCTAGAGGAAGAAATCGCAATCCTGAAACAAGACCTGGAGCGATGCCAACAGGAGCTAAGGCAAGAAAAAGAAAATAATTTAGAAAACCTCTTAAAAATTAAGGAGCTGACCGACGAACTTAAAGCCGAGAGACAAAGTGCAGAAATCCTGAGAAAGCAAATAACAGAAGACAGGAGATTATATCTAGAGAACACAGAGGAGAAAAAGAAGCTCATCGACATACTGGAAATGAAAAACACTGTCCTGCAAAAAACATCAAAAGTTGAGATAAAATGCCTGCAGGACAAACTGAGCAACGTCATGGAAGAAGTAAAAAAAGTGGACATTTTGTATGAAGACCTCTCAATCAGATATGAAAGAGAAATCAGTTCACTTAAAAAATCAGCTGAACGAAACCAATTTAAAAGTTTTTCTGTGCAAAATATTGTTGAATCTTCGAACGATTTACCGTCAACCAACACGGCGAGTCCTCAAGAAGAAGAGGAAACATCAGTCGGCCATGTTGACCCGATTGATGAATCAAATGACAACATGGATTCAGACGAGGAACAACCTGGACAACCTGAACCACAACTAGAACCAGAACCAGAACCAGAACCAGACCCAGAACAAGAACCAGAACAAGAACAAGAAGCAGAACCAGAACAAGAACAAGAACCAGACCCAGAACAAGAACCAGAACCAGAACAAGAACAAGAACCAGAACCACAACAAGAAACAAAACCAGAACCAGAACCAGAACAAGAACAAGAACAAGAACCAGAACCACAACAAGAAACAAAACCAGAACCAGAACCAGAACAAGAACCAAAACCAGAACAGGAACCGGAGCAAGAACCAGAACCAGAACAAGAACCAGACCCAGAACAAGAACCAGAAGCAGAACCAGAACAAGAACCAAAACCAGAACCAGAACCACAACAGGAACCGGAACAAGAACCAGAACCAGAACACGAACCAGAACCAGAACAAGAACCAAAACCACAACAAGAACCAAAACCAGAACAAGAACCAGTACCAGAACCAGCACCAGAACCGGAACAGGAACCGGAACCAGAACCAGAACAAGAACCAAAACCAGAACAAGAACCAGAACCGGAACAAGAACCAGAACCAAAACCAGAACAAGAACCAGAATCAGAACCAGGTTGTTCTAAGGACTCTGACACCATTGAGAAAATCGTGACTCAAGAAGAAAGTGATTTTCAGGATATAGATGGTAAAAAGAAACCGAAAAAAACTATCTGGAAAAGAATAAAAAGATTTCTAGGTTTTAAATCAAAGAAAAAAAAAGAATTAGAAGAATAAGGAATATTAATTTGGTATTTATCAAAAACTTTATAGTTTCAAAGTTTTAAAACTTTATGGTTTTAAAACTTTATGGTTCTAAAACTTTATAGTTTTAAAGTTTTAAAGTTCTAAAACTTTATGGTTTTAAAGTTTTAAAACTTTAAAGTTTTAAAACAAAGTTTTAAAGACAGAACTTTGTCTTTAAAAAGACAGTTTTTCCCCCGATTGACAATAGATCCTCCCAACCCAACAGAAAAATGGTGGGCAGCACGGTGGCGCAGCGGTTAGCGCTGCGTCTTCACAGAGACCATCTGTGTGGAGTTTGCATGGTCTCCCCGTGTTTGCGTGGGTTTTCCCCGGGCGCTCCGGTTCCCCCCACACCCTCTAAAACATGCAGGTCAGGTCAGTTGGTCACTGCAAATCGTCCCCAAAACAGTTTATAAACTCCAACAATGTTCAGTTTTATTGTTAAACTTGTGAAATTAATTGGCATTTTCCCTCCATTTTCCAGGGGTCAGTTGAGAGAGTGGATAGAGGTTTGATAGTTTGGATAGCAGAGTTTGGATAGTGGTTATTTAGTTTGAGACAGTTAGTTTGGTGTTTGGAGAGTTTAGGAGAAAGAGAGAGATCGGAGATTTAGGAGCGTGTCTTTTCAAAGGCTGGAGAAGTAGTGTCAAAAAAGAGGAATAGTTTGAAACCAAAAACTGTGGAGAAATTGTTGTTTCTTAATAAAAATGCATGAAATCATCCAAGTTACACAAGCATTAGCCTATTCACTGCCCCCTCCCTAGTTCCACAAGCACTTTCACTGTCCTCTGCCTGATTAAGCCATTTTTCTAGAGCCACAGATAAACATTATTACACAACATGCCATATCACATGACACGACTATTTGGAGAAAAATTACACAGAGAATACATTCAAACAATATTTTATTGTACATATATGTATGTACATAATTTATGTAGACAAATTATTTCGTCCTACACCTTTTGTGACGTCATTCCCAAGAGCCATAATAGACAAATATTCAATGCATCACACGTGTTGAGATACAGCTGGCTGTGATTATACACCTGGCCAGTAGGTGGTTTCGTGAGCACATGAAGCTTCAAGAAATGAACCCTTTCTCGAACCATTTGGATCAAGTGGTTCAATGCCTCATGAGGCTTCATCTCACCATCACTAGTTTTCATACCAAACATGAAAAACGTGATTTAACACGTTTAGACTTTTTCAGGTTCCAGTTAATTAAGATTAGAGTTAAATCTGTACATGGAATTAGATGATAATTGTAATCATAATTTAATAATCTGGACCGTGAAGAAGCCCAAAGTTGTTGTATCTTTGATAAAACAGGTGTAGCACCTTCTTCCATTCTATGTAAAGAAACTAAAATGGAGGGTGCTGGGTTCCATGTACCTCCCGTACCCCAATTGTTGGGCGGCACCGATTACCTAATTTATGACAAATATGACCCAGAGAAAGTTTAGAATTTTAGGCGAAATGGTTCAGCCTAACTTTATTAAACTAAAGTGATAGGAAACCTATTAGTTAGTCACCCCTATAACTTCAAAGTTGAACAACCATTCAATAATATTTACAAAACATAAAAATAAGGCAAAAAATATGAAGACATTAATGTCCACCTTTTGATTCCAATGAACCAGAACACAACAACAGTCTTAAACAAATGTAACCCTGGCAGTTGGGTTACTCACGACCTCCAGGAGAGTGTGAAAAAACGTTGCAGGCCTGTTACAAAAACAAAGAGTTGAAGTCCCGAAGAAAAAACCAAAACATTGAGAGCGTTGCACTTCACAAAAACATTGAGAGCGCTGCAAATCCACTGGACTGTGTTCAGTGGATTGAAGTCCCTTGTCCAAAGCGGCTAGCTTCTTTAGCTTGAAGTGGCTAGCTCCTTTAGCTTAGCCGAACTCCGGACTACTCCCGTCTATCTCCTCTTTTTCAGTCCCTCTCGCGGCGACCTAAGTCCCTCAAACTTCTTCCGAACTTCGTCTTCTCCAGTGTGTTTTTTTCTCCCGTTCTCTATCGCTCAAATCTGTTTTCTTCTTCCTTTCTGATCGGTTCGCCTCACCCTCCGCTATTCACCATTTTTCTTCTCCTCACTCCTCTCCTTCTCTCTCCACCCTTCCCTTCTCTCCACCAATCAGGAGTCACGCCCCAGTCGGACTGTATTAATAACCAATCAAATGGCAAAGCCAAATAAAATCCCCTTTATATCGGCGGTTTTCAAAGTGTGAGGCGCGCCTCCCCTGTGGGGCGCCAAAGCACTTTAGGGGAGGCGGTGCAAGGGAAAAAATAAACCGAAGAAGAGCTATCCGCTTGCTGTCTACTGATGTGAGAGGAAAAAAATGGACAAATTTTTAGTAAACCTGCTCATTCCCTTCACTTCAACCTATCTCTGTGAATGTGGGTTTTCCGCTCTCGCAGAGATGAAAAGCAAATCCCGGTCAGGGCTGCTGGTTGATGATCTGCGGTTATACCGCTCCACAGCGCAACCCCGTATTAACCGGATTTGCGCATCAAAATGTTCCCACTAAAACGAAGGTGAGCTGAACAGTAATGTTGCCACTTTAGTTAAAATCATAAATAAAATGAGTTACATGATTCAGGACCGTGATAGAAAAGAAATGGTGCGCATAGCGTGCATAAATGTTTTTTTTTCCTTTGTATGCCTCCGCTCTTTCATACAGCACGTGTAGCGTAGTTAATCCTGCATTGTGTCTTTTTGAGGCAAGAAAAGCCAAACAACAGCTGATGTGCAGATGATTTTAATGCACCTGCATTCAAATGGCAGAAAATAGTATCAATCAGAACAGTGTACTTTTCAGTCCCGCACAGCGCCTTCTCCCACGGAATCCGAACAGAAAGAGCGCAAGTGCGTGTGACTTAAGTAAAGTAACACATTTACTTTATGAAAATAAAAACAGTTGCATTAATAGTAACTGAGCCCAAACATGGACATATTAACCTTAAACAGTACATTAATGAAAACCAAATAAAATACCATAAATAGTAATGAAACATCACATACCTGCATTCAAATGGCAGAAAATAGTATCAATCAGAACAGTGTACTTTTAAGTCCCGCACAGCGCCTGTTCAACCATGAACAATACTATCTTCAGCACATGCACATACGATTTGTTAGCAATGTTTCATGTATAAAACAGCTAGCTAACTGTTAGCTACTAGCCTTAATTTAACAAAGGTTAATTTATACTACAATAACAATACACATTATTTTACAAAAAAACTGTGATAAAACCATCACTTAATACACTAACATACACTTATTAAACACAAAAACGAAACTTCATAACTTCTCCCACGGAATCCGAACAGAAAGAGCGCGACCGAGAGTGTGGGAAAACCTTTCACGGCCTACAATGGTATGATCCACTAATTTATATTTTTAAACTCCAAACTGATACTAGATATAATGACCCATGAACTAAATATGTTCAACAGCAACAATAATAATTCCCATTTCTATTTACAACACATGAAAGTTTAATAAATAATAATTTGGAGACAGGAAGTTACCCGCTGGATTACAATGGATCTGTCGTCCTTTCAAAATAAAGCTGCCGGTGCTCAGAATTTCCCATCGGAACACCCTCCCACTTAACAATCTATGTTCAAACTGGTCTTGTGGCAACAGCAGCTTATAGTAGTGACTGGCATTACAAGGACTTCTGATGACAACAGTTGCTGTTAAATATAATAAATCAGCTTCGTACCAATGAGTTACCACTTGGGGCTATTGTAGCTTAACAGATGTGCTGTATTCAGAGTTCACAGATGGATGTATTTTTAGCTTCCCCTCAGACTTCTTAAAGGTCCACATATGAAAACAGGCAAAGTAAAAGAGGAAGACAGCGCGCAAAATAAGGAACAGAGGGCAGTGAGGTGGTGCCCTATACCAAAGTGAGCCGAGGTGTCGAGGTGTTTCCGTAGTTTCAGCTGAAAGGATCCGACAGAGCAGCAAGAGGGCTGGTAACAATATGTGAAGTCAAATGTCAGGCTGCAAGTTTAAGAGGTCAAGCAGACATATTGTCTGGTTTTACACAACAACATGAACAGCAGCACAGCTTAAACTCTCTAGATATGGGTAAAAAAAAAAAAAAAACTATTTAATATCAAATTCCTTCTTTTTTTAAGTTTCAGCATGCCCACACTGCCCTCTGCTGGCTCTTTTTTTGTACTACTCGTTTAAGAAAATGATGAAACCAGCTTCAGGGCCTTATACAAGGCATAATGAAATACATTCATTGTTTGTGTAGCTCTAAATGAAAAATGTCAACCATGTCAGCATGCTCATCTCAGCTTGACCCAGTTTGGAAAATGAGGGGTTGCAGCAGAACAACCGAGGCCAGCGGTTCAATCAAACGCAGGCACATTTGCTGGGACCTTGATGTGTCAAAAGTCTTCAAATAAATCCACCTTTTATAGTGGCACAATCTCACGATGACAAATTGACGCAAGGCCAGAATACATTTATTCAGTGAGGGAACAAAAATCCCATTGAAAAACATCTGCTAAATAAACTATTTTTCGCTATAGTTAGTTTTTAAATTATTATTTATTTACCTAAATCATCCAAAATCTCGGGTCATCTCTTGTGCAAACTCCTCTTCAGCTCACCGTGCAGATTTTTCTGGTAAACCACTTCTGTTTTGGAACAGAAGTGGTTTTCAAATGCTCCAATGTGAGACTATGCTTCTGCAATAAAATATAAATACACTCAGAGGTTTTCCCTGTCTTAGCATCCCTGTATCCAGAAGGAGTCTCCCTACATCAAGGTCCTGTGCTGCGAAGACAAACACACGCTTCTGCTTTGGGTCAACTCCATCAGGATTGCAAAGGTCAGGTTCATCGCCACTCGCTGTGATGCGCACATTGTGTTGCGTGTTCACAGAACCTCTGTGTGTGTTTCAGTACGGTGCTGCGCTGTACAAGAACTATCAAGCTGCGGTGACAAGAGCATCCGCTCTGCAGATTCCCTACTCAGCAGCATGCAAAGGTGAGAACAAGAAACGGCTCTGCCCAAGCTAAATCCTCCAAATCTCTTTAGGTGTCGCAAATGTAGGGATACATCAATCAGGAAGGAACAACTTGTTGACTTTTTTATATTTCTCTGCAGAGAAATCCAACAGTGCTACCTCCCTGGAAGGCCCACACCCAAGTTCATGAGCCAAATTCACTGAAACTAAATCATCACCCGACACCTGACGTCTTCAATCCTCCTTCTGGACAAGAATATCTTTGAAACATACGAGAACTTCCTTAAGTACAGCATCTTACCTGGAGTTTGCATCACTTTGTAGGTCACATTTATTCACACCTTTGGATAAGATGTGGAAGAAAATGAAGCTTACAACAGTGGCGTTCGAATCTTTTCCTAGGAAGGCCCGAAACATCAAGTCACAAACTGTTGGGGGCCACAACAATTATTTCTTTATATATGAAAATTTTAAAGACAAGTCTTGTGTGCCTTTCTTTATTTTCATATTAAAAGCGAACATCGTAGACCTAAGACATAAGATGGGTTGTGTATAATGTGTTTATTTATAGGATACAATTACAATTTCCACATTTTTGGGATTAATTTTGTAGACTGAAGGAGGCTCTGGGAGTTTTTTTTATGCCTGCAAACTCTTAATATTTCTTTTGAAGCACTTTGCAACAAGGATTAATGTAGAATAATAAATGAAGATTGCTTGGAGTTAGTTTTTTTTTTTTTATTTTGTCTGAAAATGCAATCTTGGAAGATCAAATGAGTGTCTGGATAAACTGCCTTTGCTTTATACCAAATTTGTGGTTGGAGGATGTTCAAAATCACTTAGTGGGCCGCAAATTGTCCCTAGGGCGACACTTTGGACATTGCAGACCTCAAATAAACCCATTTTTATTTGCACTGGCATGACCTTGTAAGGTGCAAGGTCATGCATGTACCTCGTGGTCTAAGCATGACCTTGTATATAGGTCATGGTTGTACAAAATCAGAGAGGAATTTGGTGATAATCTCATTTAGACTACTGTTCTTGAGAAATCTTCTCGATTTGCTTCCAGTTTTCTGTTGACGCTTATTTATCAAAGGTCCCGTTTGGAAGCATTTTGGCTCCATCCAGTGATCACAGTGTGAATGACATATACATGTAAATACGATTCATGATTTTCTTCAAATAAAAACATGAATTTCAGGCAGTAAGGGGTTAAGAAACAATTATTTATGAAAAAAAAGTATAATAAGTGCAATCACTGTGAGTCCTGATGTGGACATTTGTTCAACTCCCCCGTTCCAACAAGACATCACTTCGTCTCTGAGGTTGGATCATAAAGAGACAGGGATCTTTGACTCTGTACAAACTTTGTACAAACGTTTTGCCAACGTGGCCAAAAATGTAAAGCTGAAAGTATTTTATGGGCCATCATGTTTTATCTTATTTTATTGTTTTTATTAAAGATGATTTAAGAAGGAGTTTGTCCCGGGTTTTTTTTTTTTTTGCAATCATTTTGCATTATTTAACCGACGAAAAAAAAAACTGGTTAGTATCTCGTCTTTTGTACTTTTTAATGTTGCTCCGATATAAAGGTAAACGCCATTTATGACAGGGATATAAACCATGTGGTGTGAATTCAGGCAAAATTTGACAACAGTGTCAACACACGTCCCAATAAACATGCATGTGACGCCTAGGATTTTGAAAAATCTGAAATTTTACTTCCATTTTGTTTCGGAAAAGAACAGAACAACTTTAAAAATTGTTTCAATGAACTGTTTATTACAAAAAGACTGTACATAAATTTCAATGAGCACATTCTATGTACAAACTGAGAGGAGGACAAACAGATTCTATTCCCATGAACATTTAAGTTACACGTTTTTTGTTCTTCTTATTTTTGATTCCACATTTGAGCATATGAAAACACGTTGGAGAAAGGGTGCCATGTCTCGAGATGCCCTGGCGTTAGGGGCGAGTAAACATTTTCTGCCCGCTAGTGGCCAGTTCATGATTTCCAAAAGATAACAAAAAGGGTATAAATAAAGCCTTCACATACAAACCGCGAGCAAATGCTTCTCTGCCGTTTCTCACGTACAGAAAAGCAACAAGTCAAAAGTTAAAAATGCATCACGTAGAAAAAAGTTGTCTTCTGAATTAAAAAAAACAAACAAACAAAAAACACACACACACAACAGCCTCATGATGTCAAATACAATCCAGACAGGGACGCACAGGAGAATCATAGTCTGAATGACGCACAATCATGCAGGGAGGTTGAACGAATACTGCTCACATCAGGACATTCCCTGGTGAAGTAAAAATGATAAAAAGCCTTCGCTTCAAAGTGAAAACGAGCATGTGATCAATAGGCTTCAAAGATATGTAGGAGCTTTACTTCCACTGACAATCATTTTGTAAGAGCAGGGTTTTCTTTTGAGAGAGGAAACTACCAACGGCCCTCATTCCTTAGACCGTAAAGGTGTAGTTCACATATTGTTGGAAGTGAGGTTCCTTTACCTGCAGCAGAGAGGTATCAGAGCGTATAGAGAGTTTGTAGAAGAGTGAGAGTGGGAGGAGGCTAACAGCTAGTCAGTTACAGCAACACTCCCCGATTTAGCGTGTTTCGTCCATTTAAAACAACGGAAACTGAAAAATGTTTACACCTGTAGTGTACACTGCTACATAAGAGGATATTTACTGTCAACATTTCACAGAATACCATTTCCTGGCACTAGGAAAGTATCTGTTTTACTACATTAAACTCTGCTGATTGAGTTATGGTTATTTACATGTCAACCCTAACCCTAGGTCATATCCTCTAATGTAGCCTTGCATGTGAAGGGCAGTGATGGCTCTTGATCTGGGCACTTACACAGGGCGGTACTAAAAAAAAGAGAGGCACTGAAGTGTCAGATGAAAAGACCAAACATGTCAGTCATTTAAGCACTTTGTTACTTTCACGCAAGTGCAGTCAATGGGTAGTTGGCACCTGCTTCTGTTGAACAGGCAGCAACAAAAATAATGAGCCTACAATATTTGTTTTCTATGGGACTGTGCTGCCTTCATCACCCCCCAGGCTTTGTGATCATTTCAAACATTTTAATTGGCTGGGAGACAGCAGCAGATGAGCTGAAACAATGCCTGACGAGCTGAGGACTTCACTTTTCCGCAAACTCCCTGGAATATGTCCTGCCTCTACTACAGGTAAAGGAACTACTACTAAAAATTTTAATAGAATGTTAGCTTAGCAAAGCTAACGTATCCCTTTAAGCATATTTTCTCAGCAGTAGCTAGAGATGTTTAGCACAGAGTGTTGGACCAAAGATCAGGAGTGACTGACAGCGCGCTACTGCTGATTTGCCTACATTCACATTACGGATATGATTGAAGGAATTTACAATCAAAAAGCGAGCGACGTCGGAAAATAAAGAGACACGCCTCTGCGTTCTTCGTTACAGTTCTCCTTTGAGCAGTGTCGTACTTGAGGTTGTTCGGGTCGGTGAGCACCAACTGGAAAGCGCCGCACCAGCGAACGTTTGCAGAATAAACGGGGTCTCCCAGGGCGTCCTCCGTCGCTCGCCGCTTGACGGCGACTGGCTCGTCTCTATCAGACGCGAGACGGAAATCAAAGTCTCGCGTCTGATTGTCGCGAGACGTTGACGACTGACAGTGCAGCTACGACGCAGAAGGGAAACAAACGTGAACAGACGCAACAATGAGTCCCGAAGCCGGACGGCGTCACCGAATACAGCGGCGACGACCGACTCAGACCGGAACGGACACAATCACTTAGCCAAAAAACGGAAATGGCACCGTGACCGTTGAGGACAAAAAAAGCAAAACAAACAAAAACAAAAAACATGGAACATTCAAGTAAAAATGAGCTCCGTTGAAAAAGAAACCCAACCTTGGCACCACTCACCTCCACTGACGAAGCACACCGACAAAATGTACTGAACTGGCAGTTGGTCACGTTACACGTTATATACACGTTAAAAGAAACTCCACCAGACGGAAGAAGGAAATTGTCTCTTTTTTTTTTTTTGGTCGTCTACTGACGCATTCTGTACAACCTTCCTTTGTAATTCGACGCAGAGCGTTGTGAATGCACAGACCTTCACACTCCCGCTCGTAAACGTTTTCGTGATTTCGACAGCGTGGAACATTCAGTCGTGTCCGAACTAAACGCACTGTTGCTGGCGTTTTAGTTGTCCGTTTGAAGCGGAGGGGAGAGTCGCTCTGGTGGTCCGCAGTGCAAATAATCAGGTAGCAGGTTGAAGCTAAAGGAGCCTCGTCTCAGTTTTCGGACCGAATCGACTGTATTTCTCCTCGTAGTTTGCAATGACAAACGTATGGTTACGGGTAAATTCCAGTGAGGCCCCAATTTTTGCATGTCCAGTGTAAATTAGCAGACCGCAGCCTGTCAAATAAAACTCCTTCCCCGCTTTTTTGTGCAACATTCGTATTTTAGTAGACTAAATAAATGCAAGCACAACTCGCACAGATCTAAATAAAATCCTGTGACAGAAAAAGAATCACCATGGCACTATGACTCAAAATGGGAGCTTCGTTTGTCGTCATACGGCTGTACATATATAGACCTTATATATATGGTGGAGGTTTTTCTTCGTTTTTGGGTTCTTTTCTTTAGTCAGCGTAATGCATGATTGATTCGACGTAATTTCCTGGGAAGAGTCCGGTGACGCCATTGCAGACGCCTTCGAACCATCCATCGTCGTTCTTTTTGATAATGTAGATGATGGCGCCTTCCATGAAAGACAGCTCGTCCTCCTTGTCCTTCGTGTAGTCGTAGATCGCCACAACTGGGTCAGAAGAAACATAAGATGCTGTCTGTTTAGTGAACATAAAGGACTGGGTGAGTACAAATTTTCCATGTCAAAATTCAAGACTCTTCCACGCTCAACATCAGCCCATTTTTTAACAATAATTACAAATGTTTACTAAGAACTTATATAGTACATAATTCATTATGATAGCTTAACTTTTGACAACCTTACCATCTAGATGTGCTGCAGAATTCAGTTATATTATTATATTAATAATCGGAAAATAAGCATAAGGCCTGAAACCATAAAACTCTAGCGGACAGAATGCTCTGTTTTGTTTTTTTTCGTGGGGGAAATATTTGGTGTTGGTGTCCCTGGCACATTTAGGCTAGTGGAGGACAACTGGTATGCATGAGGAATAAAGCTGATTCAGAGCAGAAGAAAAAATGGAGTGGTTTTGAATTGTTTCTCAACAATTTTTCAGCAAAACTTTAGCTTAGCTGTGGCCGTGTAATTTCAATAAAAGACGAAAACTAGACCAATTGCTTCTTTTGTTTGTTGATCGTCAAGATATTCATAAGAGTCTTCAAATAGAATGAATTATTTCGTAAAGTATTTCACAAACTACGGCTCCTAAAGCGGGAGTTATGTCAAATAAAATTAATTGCGCAAGAAAAGAGAAATTTGCTTCGTCCTCTTTGCATCTTGACACAGTTGACGTAAACTGAGCCAAACTGAGCTCTGTATGTACATAAATGACACTCGATCCTTTCCAGTCTGTGTAGGAACTCTGAATAACATTACCTTCCCCACTGGCACTGACCTTTCTCTAAGTACGCTTTGGGGGCCCAGTGAGGGTCTCCATCAGCGTAGGGATCGCTGTAGTGAACGACGGCAGCTTCCTCTTCCTCATAGTCCACAGGCGGAGGAGGTGGAGGGGGAGCTGGCTCCTCAAACACACCCACATCCTCTGGGGGGGGTGGAGGAGGCGGAGCTGGACTGTCTGTTACTGAAACGCAAGAACATGTAGAAAACAATTAGTGTTTTTGCTTCAATTTGATCTAAATATGGTGAGTAAAAGTCATCACAAACCTTTCTTTTTAATTTAAGAAAGCAGCAAAGAAATGTTGAAATACTCTGACCAGTAGAGGGCAGTGAAGAATCCTGACTAAAAATGTGTTTGGCATGTAGGTCTACATCACATCTGTTTTCACATACATTTTTATGAACAATGTCTTGCTCATGTACTAAAGCAACTCTTTGGTTCCAACCTCCCTTTTCCCATTGGTCGACCAATTGACCCCGGTGATGTTTTAAGTTCACAATAAAACGACCCCTGACAGCAGTTTTATTACCTGCAGTAAAAACTCTGGATTTAGTCAGACTTTAAGTTTATTTCTGGCAAAGGTTTCTGTAATGAAACAGCTTTAAGGATGACACACAAAGCGACAGTAGTGCCTGTTTGAAATGCCTACGAAGCTCCCTCGTTAAAATACGTGATTCTGACTTACGAACTGCTCTTGTCTATTCTTGCAAATACGCTAAGCTTATTTTAGTTAATGTATTTTGAGCTTTAGGCACAGACCCAAAAAAAATTGCATCTATTTGCAATGTGTTTAGAAACCATGTACACTTTCATCTCATTGTGCGCTGGTGATCT